TGAGTAGGCAATTCAGGAGTAAAGTCCTCTCTCGACGTACGAAAACCGCGCTCTATAAGTCACTCATCATGCCCGTGCTGGTATATGGCGCAGAAGCATGGACAATGACAACATCCGATGAGGCGGCTCTTGGAGTGTTTGAGAGAAAGATTTTGCGGAAGATTTACGGGCCTTTACGCGTCGCCGACGGCGAGTACCGGAGTCGATGGAACGATGAGCTGTATGAGCTTTACAACGATATGGACATAGTGCGGCGAATTAAAATACAGCGGCTCCGCTGGCTTGGTCATGTCGTTCGAATGGTCACCGACGCTCCAGCTCTGAAAGTATTCAACTCGGAACCCGCTGGTGGTAGCAGAGGAAGAGGGAGGCCCCCACTGCGATGGAAAGATCAGGTGGAGAAGGACTTGGCTTCACTTGGCGTTTCCAATTGGCGTCAGTTGGCACAGAGGAGAAACGACTGGCGTGCTTTGCTGAACTCGGCCAAAATCGGTTACAGCGCCAAAAAAGGAGAAGAAGACATACACCTCGTACATATAATGGAAATATTCAATTCAAATACTCCCGTACTAAAATGAAGTATTTTTCACTACACGGATGGCGTTTTGAACGTCTCGGATGCTCTTTCATATGTAATTAAGAAGGTATATGTATACAAAGCATGCACAGCTCTGCAAAAAATTGTGCGACTAATCTCTAAAGAGAGTATTCCGAGATTACTCTCAATCGGGTACAATTGGGCATTATTTAGTCGCAACTAGTCTCATCCGGGTACTATTGGGGATCAATTAGTCTCGACTCGTGCCTTACGGGTATAATTGGATATCAATTAGTCCCCGACTCATCTCTAACGAGTACTATTAACGATTTAATGATATGTACGCACTTAGTAAATGGAATTTCATGTGCGGCGATGGCACATAGAGAGAGTATTCGCTTAACAAAACTGAGAACCACGGTTCGAATCGCAGCTGGCGCAAATTTTTATTTTTATTTTTTTAAAGTGACTAGTCGCATTTTATACCCGTTCCGGTATAAAGTTGAACAATTAGTCTCTTCATAGGACATGCTCGAACAAATGCGAACAGTTTATTCCATATAAAGAGATCAAAAGTGGTATTAGTCACATGTTCCTTTGCGATTGCTCCCGGAGTCATTCCGGATTAGTCGCATTTTTTGCAGGGAGCGGTGAAACACATACACACATACATGGTATGACATAATGCACAAATCGCGCGCTGTGATGTTGATTCAAACTCAACATTGAAAACAGCTTTACATGTATGGCTGTAGCTGAGTGTGCAAAGACGTTTGATACAATTAGTTGCGGCCAAGAGGGTCCGGGTTCAATTCCCATCAGACGGAACATAAAATTAATTTTTTTCTTCTTAATTACGAAAAAGCATCTGTGCACTTCACAACCACATATTTTATAACGTATATACTCAAATTTAAAACGAGTTGGGTTGATGCTCTTTCGAATGCGTATTTATTTCAATTTAGCACGTTATTTTTTTAATTCTAAAATTTTTTCCCCTCAGTGTTGGAATGTGTGGTTATGAAATTCGATACGATACTAGAGTTCTGGTACTAGATTCCAAAAAATATCGTTTTAAAGCTATAGAGTAGAAAATATCGGTATCGAATGCCAAAAATATCGATATGGTATCGTATCGTATCGAAATTCGTGTCCCTAGGTGGGAGAGAAGTGGAGTGTGGATCGCCAGAAGAAAGTTGTGAAATCAATGAAGCAATCATTGAATTTTAAGTGTAATAATCAATTGTTTCACTTGGTTCGAGGTCCATAGAGAAATCGGTGTTTGTATTATTTTCATCTGTGTAATTATTGTT